TATTTATCACCGACATGCACTACAATGTAGACCGCTTTTTCCATAAGAAGAAAAGTGAACAACTTACGAGATCAAAGTGGTGAAGCTCATGTTTCGGATTCGGAACAACAAGAAACATCACTCGCTGTTATGAAAGTCAGTCTGGGGGGTTGATGAGTTTTGAGCAGAAGGGTTTAGATTCACCCAAAATTCTCGGGTTGGCGAGATATGACAAATTATGGTCTAGATAAAATGTAGGTGAGTCGTATTCATGTCTGGTGTTGATACACTATGCTTGACAATAATCAAATCAAGTTCAAAATAATCATTTAGGCCAAGTTAGGTTAAAAGAAGTCTACTTATATTATAATATAATAACTTTCTGTTTTCTCTCAAATTATCTTTCGAAAAAAACGAGGAAAAAAACTTTTCCGGAAAATGAATCATTCAGGCCGAGTTATGTTAAAAGTACACAGTAAAAAAACGCTTCGAGTGAAATCCGTTGAGTATGTTTTTAGAGTTGAAATACTCTGACAAACTCACTCTAATACTGCAATCAACTCTATTACTACACTTCTCGCAGATTATCTCCTTCGAAACTAATTCTAGATTGAATTTTCACTATTCTCGTATTGAATTCACTCTATATTCCTGAAATTTCAATAAAATATCAATTCAGATAACTCAATTCACAAACAATTGAAATTGAATTCATACTAGTGTTAACTGACACTCGTGAACTTGAATATTCCTCTGTTGTCGATTGAATTGACACTCTATCATTGTTCAATTCAATCTATATACGATGAAATATCAATCTATACAGTTTCAGATGTTCAGTCTACTAGATAGTGAAATAAGTAATACCTACATATTATAGTGTCGAAGATATAATGATGATGATATTAGCTTCAAGTAGCTTTTTCACTATACCCGCGTAGTGAGAATTTTTTTTCAACATTGAGTTATGAACGTATTTCCGTATATCTATCTCAGTTATTTTCCGTCTTTTCCCTTTCGAATCATTATTTCGAACGATTTATGAAACAGATATAGGTTAACTAGTTAGTCTAGTGGGACCCGAGTCATTTTTCAAATATCAAGCGATTAAAATATTATAAAGTCACACTACTTCTCATCCGTCAATTCTCGCCACTGCATAAAGATGGCGCTGCAGAGACTTCGCCGCTGAACGTCTGTCGGGGGCCTATAAATACTGTGACATGTGGAAGAATGGTTAATTCAACTTGGATGAAACCTCAACAGGAAGTAGTGACTAGTTTACTCAACTAGTGTACTATATCAATCTAAAATGATGAATAAATTATAACTCCTTATTAGCACCTGAAAAAATAGTAGTGTTAATTTGAACAATGCAGGAGCAATTTTACATCCACGTAGAGTAAATAATTCAATCAATTTCCGGTGGATCCGACACTGTTCATAGTGTGGATTCTACTCTCTACTATTGTATTAAAACTCTAAACTTTTGTGACTATGTAATATTCGGTTATTGAATTTCACTCTAGAGTGATGATATTGACACTAGCTTGGGTCTTGAGTGGAATATTCACTCTCGTAATTGTTTATTTCAACTCTATTTTTGTGTTAATTCAATATATTCAGAGAAATAAATAGAGTACGTTTCAATGTGCTTGCATTGAAAATTTACACTAATTGAATTGAAAAAATCACACTATAATAATAGGTATACTAAACTATAGAGTTAAATCATTCACTCTAAAGCTTAGTGGTCTTCCTGGGAACAGGTATAGTGTTGAATTTCACTCTATTTTTTTTACTGTGTAGTCTCAGATGAAGGTTCATTTATGGTAGTCTCCTTTTTCTTGCAGAAATGATATCTTCCTCCTCAATAATACTTTATAATATTCTGATTACCTTGCACAGCACAACAGCATGCTGATATTCGCATAACTGGCGAGAGACATTTGTCCTTGATCTGTCATGTCGTTGATAATACAAGGGTGCGTATTTGATTATAGATCCGCTCTGAACTAAAACATGTTTCAGTTCTGTGGATCCGCTATTTTCAGAATAGAGTAGGGAAAAAGGTTTACGGTATATTTATCACCGACATGCACTACGATGTAGACCGCTATTTCCATAAGAAGGAAAGTGAACAACTTACGAGATCAACTGGTGAAGCTGATGTTTCGGATTCGGAACAACAAGAAACGTTACTCGCTGTTATGAAAGTCAGTCTGGGGGGTTGATGAGTTTTGAGCAGAAGGGTTTAGATCCACCCAAAATTTTCGGATTGGTGAGATATGACAAATAATGGTCTAGATAAAATGTAGGTGAGTCGTATTGTGTTTTTTTTTTTTTTTTAACCGCCAGCTTAGTTGCAAAGCAACCCTCGAAAGTCAGAGACTTGTGTGAGTTAACCCATGTCTGGTGTTGAAAACAAGCATGACGTGAAGTTTCATAAACGAAAATCTCTTCATGCGGAAACTCTCGCCTGATATCAATTATTATCACATCCTAGAGAATCATCACATGACTAAAAATTCTGTGGATCTTGGATCTATACCATCACGATAAAAAATTGGAAATTAAATAAAACGTCGATTGTCGGTACAGGTGACAGCTATTCACATTTCAGCGTGATTTCAGCTTATAGCGCTTCGGATTCTGATTGGTCTCAATGAATAGCCGTAATAATAGAAAGTTCGTTTCAAGGTCAATAAGCGTGAAATGCTCAAACAATTAGAACTTTTTATTGAAAAAAGCAGATATTTTACCAATCTAACCCTAAAACAGTGATCCGCGCTTCATTATTCATCTTTCCACAGTTGTAAGCTGCTATCTGTACCACTATAGTATAATCTGCTAACGGAAGAGCTGCCAAAAGTAAATCGAACGACGGCAATGATGCAGTGATACACGTTTGTTATTATTGATTATTTAGAGAAAGTGGCCTCCGAGCAGGTGGCTTCGGCTTCCTTTCTTAGGAAAGAATATTTTCATAACTCCCCTGAAAAAAGTACCTACTATCGTGGAGGCATTTAACGTCATACACGTGCCGCTAATTATGAAATTCCGTGCACGGAATTCTCTCCTCATAGATAAATTATTAGCGAACTGCGTATCGGATTGCCACGCTGGCAACCCGGGTTTTAAATTTCCAATTTGTTTTCTCATCTAATTTTTCCGAAAAATATACTTTTTAGGAAGAAAGTTATTTTAGGCAGACAGGTTAGTTTAGGTGTTTGGGAAAGGTCTCGGGAAAGGTAGTTTCCTTTTTAATGTTTATGCAGAAAAAATATTTTTCTTCATCATAATCGATTTCAGTGATGTTTTTATTCAAGAAATTTTGTGTAGACTGATTCCACGACTTATTGACTCATTTGGCATCACTGTCGTCTTTCGGTGTAAGTTCGGGTAATTTCGGCGGCTCTTAGACTCTAGTATCTGTACCATGATGATCTGTACCAGATCTACCCACCGGTTTGAACATTTTGCGCTTATTGAACTTGAAACGAACTTTCTGTTATTACGGCTATTGATTGAGACCAATCAGAATCCGAAGCACTATAAGCTGAAATCACGCTGAAATGCGGAAATCTGACTTCAGCGGATTGTTCGATAATCGATATATGAGTTCTATCAATAATTGACTATATTTCACTTGGAAAAAGTCAGACATGTTTTTCTGTTTGTTGGTAGCAGATACTGTCAAGTTGACTGTCTCTTGTCAATGTCAATTTTGATTAGTTTGTGAAAGTAAAGTTCCAAGAAGTTTTTATTTCTCTCCTTTTTAATAACTAGCGGTTCAACAGATTTTGATCTTGCAAAAATACAATTATTTCAACGGTGGAGCCGAATTTATTCACATTTGACACCTACGTAGCCATCCTCACAAGCAGATCTCTGTCACATCACAAGTCACAATATTGTCAATTCTGACAGTGATTATAACAGACCCATAGTGTTTTAGTTCTGTGGTTATAGTTATAATACGAAATGTCTATAACCCATGAAAATACGATTAATTATACAATTAAACAATTTTAATATGACGGAAGTGTCATTGAGACCCGAGTCAAAGTTTGCGTAAACTTTGCCCGAGCACAGGACCCGAGAGATAGACCTGAATGAAGCACAATAATTTCAACGAACGACGCTTTCAAATATATGCGTTCGTGGATGAAATCTAGTAATGGTGAAACAACCAAACACCAAAACCATAAACCAAAACTGAGATACCAAAACCAGAGATAAGTTACCAGGCCAAAACAAGCAAGCGCTTTGACAGCTTTCAAAAACTCTGCTATCACGAAGCACAAAACTAAAAATAAATGTGTCGCAATCACGGAAGTCGTGGTTGTTTGAATCATAGATGTTTGAATGAAATACTCACACTCGGCGTTGCCAGACCTAGTACTTTCGTACAAGATCTAGTACCTTTTTACTCGTCTAGTACGCCGATCGGAAAATTAGTACGTTTTCCACGTTTTGACTCGAAATATCGACATTACCGAGATAAACGTGAGAAAACTTCATTGTGTGATAATATCAGTGATTATTGTCTTTCATCCATCAATTTTGAGTTTTTTGGTGTCTAGCTCAAGTCTGTACTATGCAGTTCATTAGTTCATTTTACGTGTCAATGTCATTTGTTGATTGTTTCCACATTTTTCACCATGCTCAAAGTTATGATTATGAATAAAAATGAATGACATAATGACGATTTACTGTTTCGAGGTGTTTTGACTTATGAGAAATGATCACAATATTCAGTAAATACGTTTTCAATATGTTTTTCCTTCTAGTACTTTTTTTCGATGATTTCTTAGTACATTTCGTGTTGCTGCGCTGGCAACGCTGCGTGAGTCACACTCACTGTCAGTCTGTCACTCACATTCTCACATGCGCTCCGCTCAAAAAGATAAATAAGAGACATGTAAGAGACGACAGACGCGCTAGAATTCCGCCAAAAATTCTGTGTTCCACCATGAAGAATCGAATTTTGATAAGAAAGAAAAGTCTCTACTCTCCAGCCACCTCCAATTGAGCCATAGAAATCCCTCATCGCTCGAGTCAATGAAATCGGTAATAATAGAAGCACTTATATTTATTAGTTACCTATTAGGTCTCATCCGCACAGAGGTTTCACAGGAGAAGACAGAGGTAATTATTACCATGGAAGAGAGCCTGAAAAATTACCTCAGACATGAACGAAAGTTGCCAGAAGAAAATATTAGATTACTGGAAACAGATAAGGTAAGTGGGAGGTCCCATAGTGTAAACTATGCCCATTGATTTATTACCTACCAATAATCATTTCTCATTCTATCATTATTATATAGGCCTCTGTTCCTTTCCTGCAAAAGTACACCTCGTCATTCAATTGCAATGATGTGATTACACCAATGGATAATATCTCCACCAGTCTGTACCACTGTTAGTTGTAGATGGTACTGTGAATCTAGAGGTCTGTTCATTTGTGTTGCTAAACTTGCTAAAGTTGATTTTGTTCATGGCATGATGTAAACAGAGGAAGTCATAGAAAAAATCAAGTTTAGCAGGTAGAACAAACAGAATCTACATTTGCTGCCCTGTGAAACATGATTTTTTCTCCAATAGTTATCAAACCAATAATTTTGTGTAATTTTTTATTGAAAACTCCCATCAGTTTGTGTTTACCAAATGTCAATGTCAATTTTGATTACTGATTTCATTCAAATTACTCCGAATGTTGCATCCTGCCTAGGCAGAGAACGAAGAGCTTTCCTACCTGTTAAGTGTCAGAGAAAAGCCACTTTTCCTGCTGCTTGGAGAAAATGTATATTGTGTCTGAAGGGCAGAAAATGAGCTTTAGCAGCCCATAGCTATCAGATGCATGAGCGAATCCAGGACAGCTGGTAGCTAAGGGATGCTAAAGCTTTTTCTGCAATTTTGACACAAATGTTTTTCGCCCACCTACCATATACACAAAAAAAAAATGAAAATATAATGAAAATCTGCAGTTTCGTTCTCCTAATTTCAGACTTTGATTGATACTTACTTTTGATGAAAATTGATGTGAAACATCAAAAAACGCATCTCTCAAGTGACAATCAAAGGTGTTTGGATAGTGAAATAGTCAGACTACAAAATCATGTTGTTAAGAGTTTAGCAGCCCAAGGGATGATATAGATTACTTTGGATCATATTTTTAGGGTTGATATGATATGAGATATGATACATTTTCAGATGTGGTAGGTGAAATAGTTATTTACCTAACAAGTGCGGAAAGTAGTACTTTTCCGCACGCGACGGCAGTTGCACGAATGACGCGAAGCGGCGTTTGGGCAAGCCGTCAAGGGTGGAAAAGACATTTTCCGCAAGAGTTAGGTACAATATTTTTCCCACGAGTGGTTTTGTCCAAATCATTAATGTAAAAAGAAGTTTTTATTGAACAAGATTTCATAAAAATATGCTACAAAACGACACATCAGACAGAATAGTTACATAGATCATTTAGTTAGTCCTAAATATCCTCATTTTCAACAATACAAAAATCGTGCGGTAAAGTAACTTTTCAGCACTAGTGCGGTAAAGTAACTTTCCCGCACGATTTCATCGATAAAATTTCATGAGGAAAATACCACTGAAAGGTAAGACAGCTGACGTATTTCTGACAGTTTCTTTTCCGCACGATCGTAGGAAAAAGAGCAAAAGTGACCCATTAAATCTGAATTGAATCCTTGCTGAGTTACTTGACTATTCCAAATGAAACTGATGAAATAACTAAGTGGTATTTGTCAAATTGAATTGTAACATTGACAGGTTACCTAATTTTAGTTATACTTTATCCGAAAGTATGTATGTATAAAAAGTAGTGTATTTATATACTGTGGAACTGAATGAAACTAAGGTGAAAGGTGAAATACTTCACTCCCAGTTTTCAATAGGTCACTTTGGTCCCATGGTATACCGAGTGACCAGATCATTTTATACAGCCAATATCTCAGTTATGATGTTGGACTATTTTTTTTAATTACACTTTTGTCACAAATGACTTTGAAGCCATTGTGTCAAAGTCAAAATCTGTCAAACTACCCCTGAAAAACCATCCCAACTTCATTTTTTCAAGTTAGATTCTGTACATTTTTGTTGATATAAATGTGAAGTGCGATTGATTCTAACTTCAACTATGTATCAAACTTGATCATCTGACTGACGTCCAATTGACAGAATACTCATTTGGAGTAAACGTAAAAGGCATTGTCCTAATTGGATGTACCTACAAACTGACTAAAAAACGCGTGCACGAACAACTGTCAAAAAAACTTAACAAAAGAAATGATCTACACATACTATTTCCTTCGAATTTTCTAGTATTGGAAGTTTTGTGTAGGTATGTCATAATATCAAGTGTTATACATCATTGGAGTTAGAATTGATTGCAGTTCACTAATCATCAAGAAAATGTATAGGGTGTTGATTGAAAAAAAAAGTTGGGGTGGTTTTTCAGGGGTTGTTTGACAGAAGTTGACTTTGGCATGGCTTGAAAGTCATTTGGGTCTGATAAAAGTGTATTTTTTATCCAAGCAGCATTACTGAGATATTGGTTGTATGAAAAGATTTAGGACACCTAGTATAATATACAGGGTGTTGCGAAATTCGACAGACAACGCTTCATATGTGATATCTGTTTCAAAACATGCATAATCTTTAACCTAGTTGAAATAAATAATTTTCGAGATATTTGACCCAAAATAGGAGCTTACCTATAATTTTTCATCATTTTCATTAGCATATTATTACAAAAATATTTTTTTCAGAGTGTTCATTCTGTAGCTGAATAGAAATATTTATTCCATCCATATAATGGTCAATTCCGATCTCATTACACACTAGAGTTCATATGACCACTATTAAAATATTCAAAATGTAGATGTCATCAAAAAATATCATTTGTTACAGATTGATATGAGCATAGTACCATTGATGGGAGAGGATGAATTAAAAAAATATGTTCCATATTATGGAGACCGCCTAGCAATGAAGAATTTCTGTGTTCAGAGTAATAAGGGGAAAAGAGAAAGTCTCCTGGAAAAAATTAGAAAAAAGTACGCATCAAAGCATGATCTGATGGAGAATAGGAAAAAGGAGAAGTCGAAGGTTTCGAAGAAGGATAGAATCATTGATCTTGGATGGCAACATAAGAACAAAGACAGTCAATGTTACCGTCAAGTACGGACCAAACAAGGTGGGGGGACAAGGAGCATCAAAATTAATTTGTCCAGCACAAAAAATGATATTCTCTCCAGAGCAAAAGATATTTTCTTTCCAGATGGTATTTCGGAAAAGGGGCACATTTCAAAATTTCGATGTGAGCTGTGGGATTTCAAATGTAATCTTATTGATTATGATATTGATGTATCGGAAATGTATACATTATCAGGATTGAATCGTTTGAGATTTTATCTATCTACCGAAGAAAAAGACTTACCTCGCACTGTAACTTCCGAGGAATCTAGTAGTGAACATGTTGATTCACAAGTTGAAACATTGCTAACTAGGAATGACAATGAGCAGGACCTTTCCCAAAATATCACCACACAATCAGCATATTTCAGTGAGCAGGTTGATGTTCGATCCACAACATATACACCGGATGTTCTAGATCAATATTTGCTATTTAAACATACCGACTATGACCTTCCTGAAAGTCCTCCTGGAAATAGAGTGTTACCAGAAAATATGTTATTGGAACCTCAGATATTACAACCTCCACTTATAATGAGAGAGCAGCAAAAACCCACCAAAGTGTTGATACTCCACCGTGGGAATGTATTTGTGGAAATGAAGGAAATTTTCAAAGATATTAATATGGATTGTATCCCTGAAATTCAAATGATATTACCTAATGGCCAAAAAGAAGGTGGATATGATTTGGGAGGAATTTATAGGGATGCTCTGAGTGAATTTTGGGAAACTTTTTATTCCCTTTATACACTTGGTGCAGAATATAAAATTCCATACATAAGACATGATATGAAAGAAGAAGACTGGATTGCCTTTTCAAAAGTTTTGATCAAGGGATTCAGAGATGTCAACTATTTTCCACTGAAAATTGCCCCAGTTTTTATAGAATTCTGTATTATGGGATATTGCAAGAGTGACATTTTGATATCATTTTCGAAATATATCGGGAGCAGAGACTGGGAAATGATTCAAACAGCTCTTCATGATTTCAATTCAGTAGATTTGGATGAACTAATAGAAGTTTTACAGATTATGGAATGTAAGTGGACCCCTACAGAAGAGAATTTCAGAACATTAATTTTAGATATTGCTCATAAAGAGTTGATTCAGAAACCTATGTTTGTAATAGACAATTGGAAAAAGATGCTTAATAATTTCATATCATTCGAAGATCTTCTCAAGATATATGAAAAAAACAAACCAATTCCGAAAAATATATTACAATCTCTAGAATTCTCTGAAGAGAATTCAGTATCAACCTTTCTGAAAAGGTATATTAGAGAAGCAAATGATGACCTATTGGAACGTTTGTTGCGGTTTTGTACTGGTGCTAATATGCTTACTCAAAGAATGATAACAGTAAATTTCAATTCATCTGTGGATTTGTACCGTGCTCCTGTTGGTCATACTTGTTCATACACATTGGAACTGTCTAGAAACTACAATAGTTTTCCCGAATTTAGATCAGAGATGGATGAAGTATTGAAGTGCAATATATGGGTAATGGATATTGTTTAATGTAGGTACTCCTTAGTTAATCTGACAATAACATATTATACAGAGTGTCCAGAAATAGCCTGCTAAACTTCACCAGCGGCTTCTACGACCAAAAATGTCTCCTAAGGGGGCTCCTGAAAATGATATTTCATGAATATTTCCGAAACGCCATGTAATAAAATGTTGCATTCTGTACAAGAATTAAACTTGCTATGCCCAGTGCAGTGAAAATGATATCATTACAAATTTTCAATCAGGAGTGTATAAAACATTGAATTTGGCCCAAACTTTTTTGTATGCATATTTTTCGACAATTTCATCTGGCATTTTCAAAATTCACATCTCTTTACAGATGAAAGATGCTCTTGTTTCGTATCGATTAGATGTATCATTCTCTAGTGAAATTGATTCGTTACATCACATCTAACATTTATGCACAACATTGGCAACATTGCAATAAGTCGTTGTGGATATGGAAAAATATGCACAAAAATTTTATTGAAGTAGTTTTTTGTCATCATTTTCCTATTTTACGCCTCTATGAATTTGTTTGGTGAAAAGAAAGTAGTCGATTTTTCTTTTTAGCCACTATGATTTGAAAATTGGCAACGTTATGCATAACATGTGAGATGTAACAATATTTTTAGATTTTACTCCAAGCTGATACATCTAATCGATACGGAACAAGATCACCTTTTTTTTTGTAAACTGGTGTCGATTTTCATATCCGAGATTAAATTGTCGAAAAATATGTATACAAAGAAGTTTGAGCAATATTTAATGTAGTCCCACCCTGTATTATACTCTCCTGAATGACATTTTCAAACTTTTTTTTTATTTTCGCTGCATTGGGCATGGAGAGTTCAGTTCACGTATCGAATTGCATCATTTTATCATAAGGCGTTTCGGAAATATTAAGAAAATATCATCTTCAGGAGCCCCCTCTCAGGGAGCTGTAGTTCCCATAGGAGACATTTCTCAACTAATTTTCATCAGAACTTTTCTCCCTATTTTTGGTCATAGAAGTTTGCTGCTAGTGAAGTTTGGCATACTGATTTCGTGACACCCTGTATATTCGCTACATTGTTACCTTTGACTTGTTATGCTTTTTAAAAGTTTGAATGTTAGGAAGTATAAGATAATGAAAACTCTAAAATTACAGTACAGAATTTTATCTTACAGGAAGAGTTATTGTTTATTTTATTCGTTTTATGTTGGAACTGGACAAATAACATAAATCTGTCCAATATGCAGTATTATCTTAGTTTTTATGTTTTATGTTCTCATTTTTTGTTTTTTATAGTCTACAGGGTGTTTTTTATGCTTTTTTAAAGTTTGAATGTTAGGAAGTATAAGATAATGAAAACTCTAAAATTACAGTACAGAATTTTATCTTATAGGAAGAGTTATTGTTTATTTTATTCATTTTATGTTGGAACTGAACAAATAACATAAATCTGTCCAATATGCTTTATCTTAGTTTTTCTGTTTTATGTTCTATTTTTTGTTTTTTATAGTCTACAGGGTGTTTCAAACTTGAATGTATATACGATACCTGTAGATGGAGGACACTCCGGTGGTTCCAAATCACCCCCCATTGATATGTCTACCGACTTTTATAACTGAGATACATAGGACGTTACCTTGATTTTGGCAAAATCTTAATCTGGTTATAACTTTTGAACCACTTTGTATAATCTATCTCATATTACCTACCCATCAAAACCAAATAAAAATCCGGATCAGAATCCAGGTCCGTCTTGAGGAAAAACGGAAAACTTCTTTTATTTCAAAAACAACACTCTGTATAGCAACATTTTGTAGATCTGTTTCGATATTTGGAAAGAGTGGTAAATGAATGAAGTTACCTACTTTTTAGGAGTGCGCATCCAATTTGAGAGATGGTTTATTATCATATTTTGAAATATTCAGCTCCATTTTGATGCATTTTCATTGAACTCAAAATTCAAAATCCAATTACAATACAGAAAAATAACAGTCTCCAAAGTTCAACATCACTTGAGTCAAATTAGGTGAACTATCGATAAATTTGTTTGTTTGACGGAATAATTTGTCGATGAATTTAAGAATTTCCGAGGACTTATTTTATACTTTACCTTTTACACAGTAAAAAAAATAGAGTGAAATTCAACACTATACCTGTTCCCAGGAAGACCACTAAGCTTTAGAGTAAATGATTTAACTCTATAGTTTAGTATATTATAGTGTGATTTTTTCAATTCAATTAGTGTAAATTTTCAATGCAAGCACATTGAAACTTACTCTATTTATTTCTCTAAATATATTGAATAAACACAAAAATGGAGTTGAAAGAAACAATTACGAGAGTGAATATTCCACTCAAGACCCAAGCTAGTGTCAATATCATCACTCTAGAGTGAAATTCAAGAACCGAGAGTTTAGAATTGTAATACAATAATAGAGAGTAGATTCCACACTATGAACAGTGTCGGATCCACCGGAAATTGATTGAATTATTCACTCTACGTAGATGTCAAATTGCTCCTGCATTGTTCAAATTAACACTACTATTTGTTCAGGTGCTAATAAGGAGTTATCATTTATTCATCATTTTAGATTGATATAGTACACTAGTTGAGTTAACTAGTCACTACTTCCTGTTCAGATTTCATCCAAGTTAAATTAACCATTCTTCCACATGTCACAGCATTTATAGGCCCCCGACAGACGTTCAGCGGCGAAGTCTCCGCAGCGCCACCTTTATGCAGTGGCGAGAATTGACGGATGAGAAGTAGTGTGACTTTATAATATTTTAATCGTTTGATATTCGAAAAATGACTCGAGTCCCACTAGACTAATTAGTTAACCTATATCTGTTTCATAAATCGTTCGAAATAATAATTCGAAACGGAAAAGACGGAAAATAACTGAGATAGGTATACGGAAATACGTTCATAACTCAATGTTGAAAAAAATTTCTCACTACGCGGGTATAGTAAAAAAGCTACTTGAAGCTAATATCATGATCATTATATCTTCGACACTATAATCTGTATTACTTATTTCACTATCTAGTAGACTGAACGATCTGAAACTGTGTATAGATTGATATTTCATCGTATATAGATTGAATTGAACAGTGATAGAGTGTCAATTCAATCGACAACAGAGGAATATTCAAGTTCACTAGTGTCAGTAAACACTAGTATGAATTCAATTTCAATTGTTTGTGAATTGAGTTATCTGAATAGATATTTTATTGAAATTTCAGGAATGTATATAGAGTGAATTCAATACGAGAATAGTGAAAATTCAATCTAGAATTAGTTTCGAAGGAGATAATCTGCGAGAAGTGTAGTAATAGAGTTGATTGCAGTATTAGAGTGAGTTTGTCAGAGTATTTCAACTCTAAAAACATACTCTACGGATTTCACTCGAAGCGGTTTTTTACTGTGTATTCATAAGCTGCGGTAAAGTAGGCTGTAAAAAAAATTAAACTTCTGACAGTTCATTATCACTAGTTGCGATATTATTGGTAAAGTTATGTTAGGCATAATTATGAACACTTTGAAATGTAACAACCCAATACAAGAACCAGAAATAATTATCTTAACGTTATTAATAATATCACACTAGTGATTATGACCTGTCATATTATCAGATTTGTTTTGCACAGCCTACTTAACTGCAGCTCGTGAATTAATTGTGTAGAATTAAATGAGCCCTCAAAAATGTATGATACCATAGACAAGTTATTCTGTCAAACAAACAAATCTATCGATAGTTCACCTAATTTGACTCTAATGATGTTGAACTTTGAGACTGTTATTTTTCTGTATTAAAATTGGATTTTGAATTATGAGTTCAATATAAATGCCTCGAAATGGAGCTGAATATTTCAAAACATGATAATAAACCATCTGTCAAATTGGATGCGCACAATTACGTCACTTCATTCATTTTTTCCCGCTGTTTCCAAATATCAAAAAAGATCTACAAAATAATGCTATACAGAGTGTTGTTTCTGAGATAAAAGAAGTTTTCTTTTTTTCCTCAAGACGGACCTGGATTCTGATCCGGATTTTTATTTGGTTTTGATGGGTAATATAAGTGGAAAATTTCTACCAAGTATGGATAGATTATACAAAGTGGTTCAAAACTTATAACAAGATGAAGATTTTGCCAAAATCAGAATAACGTCCTGTATCTCAGTTATGAAAGACGGTAGACATATCGATGGGTGGTGATTTGGAACCACCGAAGTGTCCTCTATCTACAGGTATCGTATGTACATTCAAATCTGAAACACCCTGTATATACATCGCTAGAAATTTTCCTTTTCTGACAGCTTATTAGAGTTTATTGTAAATTTCTGACTAATTAATCAGTATTTTGGTATGAAGGTGGAGAAATGAAATTTTTTTATGGCTTGAACATTGAGAAATTCCATATTTGCTTTTGGTCCTTGTGTGTAACTACCTTTTTGTTCCACTGTGATAATGTGTTTTGTATTTTTATAATGATAATAATCATGTAAGAATGTCTTATTTTATCAATAAATAATGTTGAGAATACAAAAGGCTTGTAGATATTCATAACCATATTTTCATGAAATTACCATCACATTGAATAATCCATATACTGCTCATCTCTGTTGGTCACAAAAATAATACCTAGGGAATAATGAAATAACTTTTTTTTGTTTCACCGAAAGTAACGGAGAAGAATACTTGTATACTTTGTCTTATTTTTGATCCCTTATCGTTTGTGTCAACATATCATTTCAATATATTATTTGTAATCAATGTAACATTTTTAAATTCCTCGAGTGATTCAATAATTAAAGTGGAAAGTTTTATTCTCAGAATGGGAAACGACCCTGATATCTGCCTCATGTGACCAAAATATTCGGAACGGTTCATTTATTTTAGTCACTTTTTGATGCTTCGGGTGCTACCGGGTGATTCACCATAAATGTCCCTCCCTCTAGTCACTTTTTTTATGAACCGATTTCGAAATTTAAAAAATCATGTGAACAT